TCAAACTGTCCCAGTTCCTATTTGATTATCGGATCACGGTTCATACAACTACAGAGATAGCTCCAGCAGAGTTGACAATGGGGAGAAGACTCCACACCAGGTTAAATTGGATCTTCCCATCAGGAACTCCAATGCCAGACACAAGACTACTATAAGTAAGAGAGATAGTCAAGTTCAGTACCAAAACCAAGGAAATGGCCCTGTATGGGTATGAGGCATGGTCAACCCGAGGTCAGGTCCCATAACGTACAAAAGTTCGGGTGGGAGAAGCAGTCCTGAACAGGCACATGGACCACATGAAAGCTGCAAACACTCAAACGGGGCAGGAGGAAAACATACCTGGTCCCTCAAAACAGCTAGAAAGGCTGTCCGAACCCATGGGTTCTCCCCCTCTGTGTAGCATCAAAGAAACCTCAGAGTCTTAGATGGGAACAACGGATGTCACAGCCTCAACATCTTTTACCGCCTGAAAAAGAGGACGAATTTCTTCTGAGACACTCTGGGCACAAGAGGCGAGCTACGGTCTGGTACACATTGCCCGTATCTGAAGCTGAAGTGGAGGAACCGGACCCAGAAAAACATTCCAGGAATGGCTACAAGAAAAAGAACAGGCCTACATCCTGGGACTTAGAGGGACAGGGATGTAGTGATTGTAACAAGGTCAGCCTCGAGGTGGACCTCATAGAATATGAGTTCCCTGATTGGGGATGTTAATCTGGTCCAATCAGGGAGCCCTGGCTGACAGCTATGAACAGGCGTGCCAAAGGTTCTGTTCACTCTGAGAGCTGGCTTTGAGGAAGTCAGACCAGTGTAAAGTATTATGCATGTGTAAATAAAGGGTGACTTAGTGTCGGGATACTGACCTCTGGAGTTATTTCAGAAAATACCTACATTTCAATATTCAGAGAGAGGTTAGAATGTTGAGTTTCCAATTTTCTATGCTTTCTGAGGAAAACTAGGGAGTACACGCAAGGAACTAGGCCAGAAAAAAATATATTCTAAGGGCAAAATGAAGTGTATAGAAAGGAAGGAGACTTGTGTAAAGCATAAATACCTGTGCAGATATTAGTTGGGCCGAACAACCTGATGCTGTGCTGTATGTTCCATGAAAAATTAATATAGTAAGTTTTATTTTAAAAAGTTAATTTAAAATATTTTCTTAAGCTACAATGCAAGTGAACTGACACATTTTCAAATTTTACAGCTGCTTATAGATCAAACTGAATAAAATTGAAAAATAATTAGAAGTCTGACTACTTTTTTTTTAAATGCCTGCCACATTTATTTTTTGCAGTAGTTAAGCTATGGATGTTTTGAAGCTTAACATAAATAGAATGTTATTGTAAAGAAAAACACTTGCAACATTTTGAAATCAAAAACATTGGTTTCCCTTTTGTTTCCATTTGTCATTAATTTGGCAAACTCCCGTGGGAGATCACCTACAAAAACCAATAATGCATTTGTATTTTTGTGATTTGCAGTCTTTTTAAATATGCCAATAAATAGGTTTTGTAAGTAAAACAAAGGGGTGTAAAATATTTTGCAGAATAATGAAGCTCAATGGAGCTGGACTGCCGACCACCTCTTACCTATTTCTTAATCTCATCTGTTTCTGAGGGTCAGGTTAATTACATAAAGAGGTCAGGTACCAAACCTCTGTATGGCGCTCACTGAGATTCCCCTTCCAGGCAAGCTGGAAAAGGAAATTACTGCAGTGAAACTGCCTTATATTTAAGAAAATGTTTAAACATTGCTCCTTTTCTATTCTGCTTTTCCATGGTTAATGGTATCATTCCATCACACATACCTTATTACATACCCAGATATTAAGATTGTGGGGCAAAACAGTTGGTGCTCATCATCATTAGAGCTGTGAAACTGACAGTCTGGTGGTCACACATCTACGCTAAACGTAGAAATCTAAGAGTATCTGTCTGAGATTTGATGTTATTTAAAAGGATGCACTGTTAACATCCCCACAGATGGGAACCTTTAGCTGTTACTGAATTGATCTTAAATTTCACCTGTGTGATTTTTCGACCACTGTTTTAAAATAAAAAAAACACACACAAGATAAATGAGTAAGTTGGGTTCTTAATGGCATACTACAGAAGGTAGAAATCAGGTGATGGTGGTGGAGGGTTGCTTTTCAGATTGGAGGCTTGTGCCCAGTTGTGTGTCACAAGGATCAGTGCTGAGTGCACTGTTTTTCCTCATTTATATAAATGATTTGGATGTGAACATAAGAGGCATGGTTAGTAAGTTTGCAGATGACACCAAAATTAGAGGTGCAATGGACAGTGAAGAAGGTTACCTCAGATTACAATGGAACCTTGATCACAAGGGCCAATGTGCCAAGGAGTGGCAGATGTAGTTTAATTTAGATAAATGTGAGGTGCTGCATTTTGGAAAGGCAAATCAGGGCAGGGCTTATACCACCTAATGGTAAGGTCCTGGGGAGTGTTGCTGAACAAAGAGACCTTGGAGTGCTGGTTCATAGTTCCTTGAAATTGGAGTCCCAGGTAGACAGGATAGTGAAGAAGGCATTTGATATGCTTGCCTTTATTTGTCAGCATTTTGATTATAGGAGTTGGGAGGTCATGTTGCAGCTGGAGAGGACATTGGTTAGGCCACTTCTGGAATACTGCGTTCAGTTCTGGTCTCCCTGCTATGGGAAGGATGTTGTGAAACTTGAAAGGGTTCAGAAAAGCTTTACAAGGATGTTGCCAGAGTTGGAGGTTTTGAGCTATAGGGAGAGACTGAATAGGCTGGGGCTATTTTCCCTGGAGCGTCGGAGGATGAGGGATGACATTATAAGAGTCTATAAAATCATGACAGGCATGCATTGGGTAAATAGACAAGGACATTTTCGTTGGATAGAGGAGTCCAAAACTAAAGGCCATAGGTTTAAGGTGAGAGGGGAAAGATTTAAAAGGAACCTAAGGGGCAACTTTTTCATGCAGAGGGTGGTGCGTGTATGGAATTAGCTGCCAGAAGAAGTGGCAGAGGCTGGGACAATTACAACATTTAAAAGGCATCTGGATGGCTACATGAAGAGGAAGGGTTTAGAGGGATATGGGCCAAATGCTGGCAAATGTGACTAGATTTATTTAGGATACTTGGTCGGCATGGTTGAGTTGGACCAAAGAGTCTGTTTCCATGCTGTACAGGTGTATGACTCTATGACTCTAATAAGTATTGTTGAACAGAGTCTCTAGCTTTGAAAAAGGATTTTATATTCATGGAATATCAATTTTCCACTTAAAATAAAAATTCTTCAGAATTTTAAGATATTGAATGCTTCAGCTTCCTGAGTGCATATGCTAATCTTTATTTCTCTGTCTGTGGAATGATTAAATGTGAAAGCAGAATCAGTAGATTTCATTGCCTGATTTGCTGACTGTACGTACCTGTCAGTGTGATTGGCTGTTTAACCCTGCATGATTGCATCACTTTTACTTTATGCTAGAGTTGTTGGTGTCAGAATCAAATTAATGTCAGGCACAGGGGAATCCACACTGCAGGGTTCACTGGATCTTTGTAGGCAGCTTTCTGTGATTTCAACAATGATGACCTCTTGTCAGTGCTGACTGAAAATTCCAGACCATATCACCAGCTTCATTCTTCAGCAAAAGTGTCATTTGCCCAGTATGATCGAGTTTATGTGGAATGTGCATAATTACTCGACATCCAGTCTTCTAACAGATTACACTACGTTTACTTCATCCTAAATAGGAAATATGTCCCTAAAATGTCAAGCCACAAAGATAGCATTTAGGTTATGATTTATTTCTTAAATTGACATGTATATGAAGCTGATACTTCCTTCTCTCCGATTATGTCAGACACTCCTAATCCATGAAGACGTTACAAAGATGCCTAGTTAATGCCTTGAATTTAGATTTTTTTTTTGTTCAGGGAGTGATAAGTAGATAGTGCTGTGATAGATGAAAATAATGGTAGTTGTCACAGTTTGAAAAATATAAAAGATGTACATAATTTAATAATTCTCTGATGACAGAGCTTTGAATTATTTCGCTGTTCCACATAGTTTTGAATTTAGTAAATTATTAAAGCACATTTACTTGTATTATTTTCAGTGCCAGTACTTTGCATGAGTGTCTGACTTTGCGCTATGCCAAATAATTTTCGTGTAGGGCAGAAGAAAGATTATTCATCAGTGGAAGTCTTTAGCGTACCCTTGTCACACTCCCAGATGCACACCTGGTGCTTTGCTATATGCTTGGCACCAGACTGATGGGCATCTCAGTGGCAGTACCATGGAAACATCGTCAGGAGCCAGATAATACACTCTCTGGGAAATAGTTGAAATGTTATTCCTTGCCAAAAGAAAAGGAATGCAAAAATGTGGCTGATAACGAAAATGTATCTTCTCATTTTGGTTAAAAATATACTTTCCTTGTTTATTGTGTTTATTCTTTGTAATCACCCTGAAACTAAATCACACACAATTTTTTTCACCTTTTACTAGTTGTCTACTTGCCAGATTTCATCCCAAAGGTGTTCAGTGACTAATATGTTGGGTAAAAGCCAGAATATCTTACAAATGTCTTGTTTTTCTGGCAGGAAAACAGCCACAATATCACAATCTTTGTGTCTAGATTCAAACCTCTAATTTTACTTTTATAGCAAATGCCAGATAAGAATCATTGTAATGAAATCAGGAATATTAAAGCATTATCTTTGTTTGAGCATTTTCAAATTCAGCAATCTTTTTGTTGATCTGCATCTGGATTATTGTAGAGACTTTAGGGACTGCACACAGAAAGATAGACGTGATAGGGGTAATAATTATTGCAAAACTTTGTTGTTATATCAACCACCTTTTACAGCATAGAAATAATGGTTGGATGAAAAGAATCCTTTTTTTCCCACTTTATTTACCTAGCAAAGAGCTTGGTTACAATGCATATTGTAATGGTCAGAAAATCTTTGTGATGTTTATATAGTAAGCTAGATTTAATGATTTTGTTTCCTAGGTCCCATGTAAACAAATCCTATCTGGCAGTTCAGGAGGCAAAGAGGGTTGTTTTGAATGTATCTGTATTCAATGCAGGGGATGATGCATACTCAACAACTCTAACTGTTAAATTTCACAAAGACTTACATTTCATAAGAATGGTTGACGTGGTAAGTATAATGTATGTTGACAAAATGTAAATTTGCAAGTGATATTTAACCAATCTAGTTTAGCTTCTGGACATCAGAGTTAACATGAGATAGTAAGAACTGCTGATGCTGGAGTCAGAGATAACAAAGTGTGGAGCTGGAGGAACAAAGCAGGCCAGGCAACATCAGAGGAGCAGGAAAGCTGACGTTTTGGGTCGGGACCCTTCTTCAGAAATGTTAACGTTTCTTCTTCTTCTTAACAGAAGAGTTAACATGTTCTGTTTTGATCAAAGGATGTCTAATATTGGCCAAGTGACGGTATAACAAAATATTATGTGCTTCTTTGGAGATTAAAACGTATCTTGCTCTGTTTTTGATGCTGTTATTTCAGATAGACCATTCGGAAATAATAATGCGATTTGGATTTTTCTGTGAGAAGGACAGTGAAATTGGTAGCATCCACTGTCATCATCCTATGAGTATGCATGGTTCAGATCATCCTGACTGTACTCAGTGGAAAATCTCTAAAGTGATGAAGGTTCTATTCTTGTGCTATTATCTTCACAGTAAAAATCTTTGAAAAGTTGATACCATGTTGAATCAGGTTTTAACTGTTTTCAACTTCATAATTACTTCTAAGCAGCCTCACTGGCCCAGAAAAGCTAAGTTAATATATTTTATATTTGTGGAATGCCAACATTCTCCATAACAATGAAATCAAATTATATTTTTAAATTTGTTTATATGAATATTTTAGCTTCTATCTCAATTTGAGCACAATTGTTGGCTTTACTCTCTGGGGGAAAAAAAAAAGGGTATTTTTTAATTTCCTGGTTTGCAATCTATGAGACTAATGCAATATGGCACCCAGCTTTCTGACATCACTGCTGCTACATTCCTGGAGATCCCTTGACATGATGTCAGATTAAAATTGATGTCAGGAAAGGGGAATGTGCCCTACAGAGGTTGCTAGCTTTCTCCAAGTTCACTGGTGAGCTTTGTCATAAAATGAAAATCTAGCCCCAAAAATCATTATTATGATCCGTATACCAGAACCAGGGATCACAGTCTGTAGTAGGCCATTTACGACTGAGATGAGGAGAAATTTCTTCAGTCAGAAAGTGTTTAAACTGTGGAATTCTCTGCTACAGAAAGCAGCTGAGGCCAAAATATTGAATGTTTTCAAGAAGCAGTCACAGTTATGAGGGCTAAAGGGATCAAAGAGTGTGGGGAGAAAGCAGGAACAGGACACCATGTTGGATGATCAACAATGATCATATTGAATGGTGGAGCAGGCTTGAAGGCTGGAATGGCCTGCCATTATCCTTTCATGTTTCTGTACAGTTGTTATGACTTTACTGCATGTAGTTCCAGAATTAACCTTGGCTTTATCATCAAACATTGTGCAAAAAGCAATACATTAAATAGAAGAAATTTGATTACCGGGACATTTTGACCACAATCTCTTCAGTAATGTGATAATACATTTAAAAATCCATTTAAAAATGAATTCATATTGCCATATACAGTTTAGCTACTTAAATCAATGCATGTAACAGGACAAATTACTTAATCTCCACTCACCTTTCTACTCCAATGTTAGACATTATGCTTACTCACTGGAGGGCAGAACAATGAGAAGTTAACGTTTCAGCTGTGTGATTACTTGGCAGTCAGAATGTCTCAAAGTGATTTTAAAATAGTGAGATGAGAAAGGTGCTTATATTTTTAAAAGTAGTCCTAATTTAAAGTTTTCACCTATTCCACAAATCCTGGGGACTTTCACTCCACCCTGGAACCATGTTTTCTGGGTGTTCCTGGCCTGGCAGCTGCCAGGGAAATTGGTTTATATGGTATTTTTCTTGTACATTGATCAAACAGCAGTCATATGTTCATCGCCTATTGCACAAGAGGAACATAATATATAAATTTCAGCACCAGAGTGATGCTAGTTATGTTAAGTATATGGGCCAAAGATTGGTGGATTGTGTCAAACAGCATGCTCTTTCAGCTGTTTGCAACAAGCAGATTCGGACTGTAGCCAACCAGACTGCATTTGCAAAACTCTCAACATATTGTGCAACGATTGACCTGATTCTGCAGTTAGGCTATAAACCCATATGATGGAGGAGCTTAAGTAGGCCTTTCAGCCCATCAAGTCCATGCCACCATTCAAAGAGATCAAAGCTGATTTGACAATTGTCAGCTTCAATTTGCTGTATTATCCCCATAAACTCGATTCCCTTAGTGATTAAAAATCTGTCTGTCTCAGCCTTGGATATACACTGAGCCAACCTGAACAGCCCTCTGCAGTAAAGAATTCCACAAATCAGCTACCCTCAGAGAGAAAACAGTTCTCCTCATCTCTGTATTAAGTAGGTCATCCCTTATTCTGAAATTATGCCCTCTGGCCCTAGACTCTCCCACAAGGAGAAACAGCCTTTTTGCATCCACCCGGTCAAGCCCCTAATAATCTTACAGGTTTCAGTGAGATCTCATTTCATTCTTTTCAACTGCAGTGAGCACGAGCCCAACATAGGCAACTTCTATAAGCAAATCCCTCCAAACCCAGAACCAATCTAGTGAACCTTCTTTGAAATGCCTCCAATGCCAGTGTATCTTTCCTTTTTTTTTGGATCCTTGGGAACCAAAACTATTCACAATATTCCAGTTGTGGTCTGACTAGAGTCTTATACAGTTTTATCAAGACTTCTCTATTTTTATACTCTATTCACTTTGAAATAAGGGACAAAATTCGATTTGCATTTCCTAGTACCCGCCGAACATGAAAGCTAGCTTTTTTAATGATTCATCCACAAAGACTCGCAAATTCTTCTGTGCTGTAACTTACTGCAGTTTTTTTCCTATTTAATTAACATTAAGTTCTTCTATTTTTTCCACTAAAGTGCATAATCTCACATTTTCCCACATCATATTACATCTGCCAAGTTTGTTTGCCACTTTCTGAACCTGTTTATATCGCTCTGCAGACATTGTGTAATCCTCATTACTCGCCTTCACACGTATGTTTTGTAAGGTCCACAAACTTGGCTGTAGTATATTCACTCCTGTCATCTGAGTCATTAATATATTTAGTAAATAATTGCGGGCCCAACAATGATCCCTGTGATACTCCACCAGTTACAGATTGCCATTCGGAAAATACCCCCCCTCCCCAATCCCAACCCTGACTTCTACCCTTAGTGAATCATCTATCAATGATAATGTACTACACCCAACATCATAGGCTTTTATTAAGTAGTCTAATGTGTAGTACCTTATTGAACATCTTTGGAAATCCAAAATTGAGGTGTTGCTCTGAGTGAGGAAAGTAAGGAAAACTAGAATGCAGGGTTCTCAGACTTTGCCAAACTGATTTGTTTGTGTGAAAGTGGGGAAAGAGCAGAGTGGATGAGCCAACTGACTGTGAAACTGAGGTGCAGGAGTCCATTCAGATAGGAGATTGAAAAGGAATGTGGTGGTAATAGAGGAGAGTGTAGGGAGATGGATTGACCCTGTTATCAGCACCAAACAGCAAGCATCATAGACTGTGATACCTGCCTCATGCCAGGATTCAGGGCATCTGCTCAGGGCTGAAGAGGAATTTACAGTGGGAAGAGGAGGATCTGGTCATTGTGGTTAATATACGTATTAATGACAAAGGCAGGAAAGAGGTTCTACATTGTCACTATAGTTGGATAATAAATTGAGAAGCAGAGATTCAAAGGTAATGTTCTCTGGACTATTACTTGGACTATGTGCAAATAGTTACAGGTCATATCATTACAGAAATGAATGGTGGCTGAAATGGTGGTGTGGGATAAACGCATCTTGGTTTGTGGGGCACTGGCACCAGTATTGGTGACTATTCTGTTGGAAAGGTATTGAGCTGAGGCTGCTGTTCTAGTGAAGTGAACTGAATAACCAGGGAATTAAAATTAAATAGTGGGGATGAGGGATAAATTTTGAGAAGATGTGGTCAATCAAAGAGTAGAGACAAGGTGAGAGAGATGGATAGTATCATGAAAGATGGGAAATAATAAATCATAGCCTAGAGATTACAAATCCAGTAAGATCAAATATTACAAAAATATAGGTCATGTATCTGAATGCATGTAGCATTTGAAACAAAATGGTAGCACAAAAAGAATAAAATAAGAATAATCTGATGGCCACACATATAGTGGAGTAGAATTGGGGAAGATGGAGTGTTGCCCTTTTTGTAATCCTAATACAATCAGGCAGAGTCAATATGGCTTTGTGGAAGGATATCCTATTTAAGAAATAGAGTTCTTTTGAAGATGAAACAAGCAGGATGGAAAATGGAGAAACAGTTGATGTAACACATATTGATTTCCCAAAAAAAGGCTGTTTCTCAAGTATCACATGAAAAGTTACAAAATAAGATCTTTGTGGTATTGGAAGTGATATATTAGTATGACTAGAGGATTGGCTAACAGAAAACTGAGATTTGGAATAATTGAGTCATTTAAGCTTGGTAAACTGTAACTAGCAAAGTACCACATCTATTTACAATCATTATCAATGGGTTGGATGAGTGGACTGATTATATTGTAGTCAAATCTTCTGACGTCCATTCCTGACCCCCGAAGGAAAACAGGCTCCAGTTCTCCTATAGAGGGCACCATTCTATAATGAATTTTTATCACGATATATTCCAGTGGTTTAGGCAAGTAGAAGTACTGTGAATGGCTGATGCCATCTTAAATATAGTCCATTATTTTCATCGAGAGTTGGTGAGTATTACGCATGAAAGATTTTTTTCCTCATGTCCCTTCTAATCCTTTTGCCAATCACTTTAAATCTGTGTCTCCTAGTTACTGACCCCACTGCTAAGGTCTTTCCCATCCACTCTATTTAGGACTCCCTTCCCCACCTCACCCACAGCCTTGTACACATCAGTCGAATATTCTCTCAACCTGTTCTGCCTTAAGGAACCTTTAAGCTGCCTTGTGCTACTTTTGCTGGAAAATCCAAAAAAAGAGAGAACTTGAGTTTTAAAAAATATTCTCCCTACTAACATGAAATTAGTTTGGACAAACATTTGTTTTCATTTCAGATTTCAATGATTTCATTTTCAAATGAGTTGTAGTTCAAAGCTCTCACGTCTGTTTCTGTTCAGTTAACTCGAAGCATAATACAAACCCAGAAAAGGGCTAGCTTCTGGTAATAAATCTCCCTCCCTGCTAATTTATACCATTAGCCAAATGTTGGATTTCCTGCCAAGGGAAACACATTGCATTTCATTAACCTGAAAAGTTTTTGAAAGAATTCCTTACGTGAAATGCCTTGGAAAATACAGCACTTTTACCACTTCAATATTACAAAGTTAGCCTTACACCAGTGTCCATATGATATTAAATACTTTTTACGAAGCTACAAATCGGGGGCCACGTAGTCGGAGTTGTGACAGAAAGGGGATAAATTATCAAGTGGAATCATGCACAGGCAACAGGGTTTGTGCCAATCAGGCAGCTTACAGGCCATCCCAAGCTCAGGACTCAGGGCCAGAGGTGCTGCCAACTGTGTTCCCAACCAATGAGAGAATTGGTGATCATGTGGTTGCAGCTCCTGTAATGAAACCTTCCCAAGACCCAGAAATGCTAATGATGGCAGGTGATGATTGTAGGATGGGTGCTACAGAGGAGATAGATGTTGGGGAGTTGGCTGCAAAGGTAGGGGTTGGGGTGGGAGGGAATGGTTGGTGTAAGCTAACCCTTCAGCACTGATGCAGTGTCCCTGGATATCTGCCTTCCGGAGTCGCGCTCTCTGCAACTCCCTCGTCTGCTCCACGGTCCCCACTAGCCCCACTTGGCACCATTCCCTGCAACCGCAGGAAGTGCTACACTTGCCCCTACAACTTACCTCTCACCTCCATTCAAGGCACCAAAAAAGCCTTCACATTAGACAAGGGTTCACCTGTACATCTGTCAATGTGGCCTATTGCATACGCTGCTCCCAATGTGGCCTCCTCTACATCGGTGAGACCAAGCGGACGCTCGGAGGTCTTGTAGAGCATATGTGTGTTCTGTACACGACTAACGACAACACCTTCTGGTCGAGAACCATTTCAACTCCCTCTCCCACTCCCTGGGCGACATGTCCATCCTGGGCCTCCTCCAGCGTCACAATGATGCCACCCACAAACTGGAGGAGCAGCACCTCATATTTTGCCTCGGGAGCCTACAGCCCAAGGGCCTAAGTGATGAATTTTACCAGTTTCAAAATCTTCCTAAACCCCCCCCGGCCTCATCCTATGACCAACCCTCCCTCTCATCCACGCCTCCTTGATCTGACACAACCTGTCCATCTTCTCTCCCACCTATCCACCCCACCCATCCCACTGACCAATCCCACCACTCCCTACCTGCACTCACCTATCACCATTCCACCTACCTTCCCCAGCCCCACCCCTCCTCTATTTATTTCTGAGCTCCCTTCCCACTCCCCCATTTCTGAAGAAGGGTCCCAACCTGAAACGTCAGCTTTCCTGCTCCTCTGATGCTGCCTGGCTTGCTGCGTTCATCCAGCTCCACACTGTGTTGTCTCTGACTCCAGCATTGGCAGTTCTGACTATCCCTGGATATGTCACTGTGTTGAATGAAAGAATTCCCAAGGAGCTTGCAAGCAATGTGCCAGAGTTTGCTTGCTGTGCGTGGCAGTGGTAGGATGAGCCCTGAAGTGGACATTAATTGTCTGCTAAATTCTTTGATTAGCAATGGGCTGGGAAGGCTTTCCATAGGTTTTTACCCTCCTGGACTTAATTGAATGACCATTAAGAAGTGGCAGGATCCCCATTTACCACCATGATTAAACTCCCATTCCACAGCAAACTCACTAGGCCATAGAGTACAAGATTCCACCTTTGGAGTTTATCACCAACACTCCTATTGCAGGCAATTCTGGGCCAACACATAATTGGGCAGATTTGACATAAATTTTATCTATTTCTTACTTTGAAAGGAAGCAAAGAATATGTTGAATTCTTGAACTTTACTGACACTTGGGCTTCATTATCAAGATTAAATGTTTTACAGATCATCTACATAAAATAATATTTTTTAAAATCTCAGAAGTGTTTGGGGAGCATAACTAATTGGTAGCATTTGAAAATAATCTGACAGTAGTTTGATGCTTAATTAGGATTGGTGCTTTTTGGTTCCAGGTGGAGAAGCATGTAATATGTAATATTGGCAGTGATGAAAATTCAACAAGTCTGGAATGCGTCATTGGACATTTGTATATGGATTTTTTATCAAAGGTACAGAAATTATATCTGGTCATTTAAAGAGGAGTATAAATATAAACTGTGTAGATCAGTGGGTTAGCAGTCCTTTCACGTGTACCTTAATCTAATTCAAGCTAAACAGAGGGATTGAAAATTTTTCCTTCACTTTTGTTTAATTTGCTATTCTGTACAAGATAAGATTAACTGGTTTAAAGTGATTTCACAGGGAGCATGATATAGAATTGAATACAGTTCAATGCTGCTTGTTAAGCTCATTCAGACAATCCAAACAATATTGGTGAAAATAAAATATTCTCATTGATATAAAAATGCCATACGGTGATTAGGTTTCAACTCCATTGTTAAAAAGAGGCTTCATTCTGCCTAAGCCCCCTGACCTAAGACTATTTGGTGCTTAAAGTAGATGACAAAAACAAAATGATGAGCACCTCACGCTAAAAAGAATGAAGCAGTTGAAACAGCATCAAATATCTCAAGATGCGTAACAATGCACTGTAAAAACCATGCACAATGAGTTTTTAGCAGCATTTTAATGACTGCAAATAATGATAACTAAATACAGACTTAACCTTGCTTGCTGTGTGACCAGATTTGAAATGGTTTCTGTTGTCTGCAAGTATATAAAAATATCTTTATTTACAGTTTTCATTATAGAATGTTGCAAAATATATTGTATAATATGAATGAATTGATGTTGAAAAGAAATCTGGAGCACGTCCTTATTCTACTTATTTATAATTATTTATCTGTTTTATACTGTTTATAGTATAAGGTGAAATTTGGTCTTTTCTATGTTTTTAATTCAACTGTCATTGTGTAGTCACATTAAGATGTATTTTTCTGGTATTTATCACCCAGGTGGAATTAAGTTTTTTTCTAGATGCCAGTAGCATCACCAGAGCAGAGGAAGACATTTACATCACTGTTAATGTGACTTGGTAGGCATCTCATAAATTTTAAAAATGGACATATTACTTGGTAAAATGTAGAGGTTGGGGCAGATTTTTTTTGTTTCCTTGCAATAGTGCACGTTTATCATAAACCATGCGGAGAAACATTGCAGAGAAAGAATACTTTATTGAGGAAATGTGTGAAAGGGTATTAGTTGAAGTCACGAATGAATTTGTGCAAGGGCTGATTTTTTATTAATTGCATGTAAGTTTTGTACGCATGTTATTTTAGTAAGTCCTAGAATGTGCAAACTAATTATTACTCATTTTCTAGATAAATACATTTAATTTCTACATCTAAAGTTGTGCACTTCCTCCTACAGTGAAAATGAAATGAATGTGGAGTTACTTGAAGATAACTTTGTTCATCTGAAATTGCCCTTAAAATACGAGGTTAACATTGCGGTCCATGGGTAAGCAGTGTACACAATACAGATGTTAATAGTATTGTAATAACTGTTGTGATTGTTTGAGGCTGAGGTTTTATATGCTTTTGCTGAAACTTTCTAAATGATATTGTTCTTGCAAACTACCATCCCTTCTTCAGCCTTCCTTTCCTTTGCAAACCCCTTGAACATGCCACCACTTCACAAATCAGTTCCCGACACTCTGAAATCAGGACTTTGCCCTGCCACAACACCTCCAATCCCCACCACCAGCCTATCAACAGTATCCTTTTCACCTATGCCACTTTGACAGAAGCAGACTTTTCTTCCTTGTTCTTCTCAACCTGTTGGTAGCCTTGGACATAGTTGACCATACTGTCATCCTCCATTGTCTGTTCACTGTTGTCCAGCAATGTGGGACTTCTCGCATATGTTTTGGTTATCTTTCTAAGCAATTGACGGTTGTGCCTTTAGTTGCTTCTGCCCAAGGGCTGGAATTCTCTCATGACACCTTGCTATCTCTCTACCTTGTGTTCTTCCTTTAAGACCTTCGTTAAAATTTATGTCTTTAACCAAGCTTTTGTCATATCACCTAATATCATCTTAAGTGGCTCAGTGTCATATGTTCTTTTATAGTCCTCTTGTGAAATGCCTTGGGATGTTTCAATGTCATAAAGCTGCTATAGAAATAAATGTTGTTGAAATATAATCTTTGACTGTCACAATGCCTTTTTAAAATTAAACTGCATTCCATTCATTTGAAACATGCAAAGAAAAAAATGTGAATTCACTACTGAAACTGCTTCTAACTATTTTGAAAATCAAATGGTTACTATATTTCCTGTATTCATTAATTTTTATATATTTGTATTGTAAACAATATGGTTCTTATTCTTATATAAATATTAAACTCCTGACATAGTCACAAGTCATCTTAACTCCTTGAGACAGCTCTGGTTTATGAGTGGAATTATAAATATCAAATGAGTTGACGAAACAAAACTAATGGTCTGATAACGATCACCAAGCATTTATTTTGGATGATGCCAGTGAACAACCTAGAGCAGAAAACATAGGAGCAGAAATAGGCTGCTTATCCCATTGAATCCACCATGCCATCTCATGAACTTGTTGCTGATCTGATGACACTGAACTCCGTTTTCTTAACTTTTCCCATAACTGTTGATTCCCTTACTGATTCAAAATCTGTGTATCTTAGCTTTGAATATACTTGACAACCAACCCTCTATAGTCCTCTGCAATCAAGAATTCCACATATTCATTATTGTCAAAAGAAATTCCTTCTCATCTCTGTCTTAAGTGGGCAACGTCTTACTCTGTGATTATGCTGTCTGATCCTAAATTCTTTCACAAGACGAAGCAACCTTTCCAGATCTACCCTATCAAGTCCTGTAAGAATCTTGTATGTTTTAATACGGTTGCCTGCCTGTCTTCCAAATTCCAAGAGTACAGCATTATGGACCAAACCAAACCCCCTCAAAACACTTCAAGGAGATAGCCTACACCCTAAATTTTATTTAAGGCAAGTGTAAGGTGCTGCATTTCAGATGCGATTCAATTATTCAAACTACTAGGCTTTAAGCAAAACACTTTATTCTTACACTACAGCTAAAAACAAACAAAAACAAAATGGCATAACTGTAACTCTATCAAAATACTTAAAATATTACTTAACTATTTCTCATCAATTGTTCCAATATAGCAACATCCCATAAACATACCTTTGGTAAAGGCAAATTCAGCAATAGGATTTCCCTCATGTGCAGGAGAAGGAACACCAATAGAATGAATCTAGCAGCAGAGAGAGAATCTGAGCTTTTTATAGCAGCGGAGAGTAAGAGTTGTATCTAGCAACTTCAACTCCCAAAAACCCCAACTTCAACAACTGAAAGCAAAAACTAAAACCCTGGGTCTGTGTGAGCCTGACTCCACCTACTTTAAAAAACCCAAAGCTACTTACTCTGCTTTCCATGGAGCAGACATGGAGAAGGCTACCTTCATTGCCAGTATAACTTCCCTTAGAAATAAACCAAAAGAGAAACTGCTGGGGAAACTCAGCAGGTCTTGCAATATCTATGGAGAGAAAACAGTGACACTTCGAGTCCAGTGACCCTCCTTCAGTCAGGACTTGAAATATTAACACTGTTTAATCACCACGGATGCTGCCAGAGTTTCTTTTGTTTTTCAGATCTCCAGAATCCACAGTTGTTTGTTTTATCTTCCCTTTACTTAAGGGGATCAAAACTGTTCACACTATTCCAGTTGTAGCCTAACTAATACCTTGATGATTGAGGAAGACTTTCCCATTTTTGTGCTCTATTTCCTTTGAAATGAAGGCTAACATTCTATTTGCCTTCCCCATTACAAAACTGAACTTGGATGCTAGCTTGTTGTGATTTATGCGTGATGAGCCCCAAATTCCTCTATGATGTAGCTTCCCGCAGTCTTTTGTCCATTTAAATAATATTCAGTTCCTTTCGTCTTCTTGCCAAAAAACATAATTTCATATTTTCCCACATTGTATTCCATCTGCCAATTTTTTGCCTACTCTTATCTATATCCGTCTAAACTCTGTGCCATCATCTTCACTTGCCTTCCCATCTATTTTTGTGTCATCCACAAACTTGGCTAAAATGTCTTCACTTTCCTCATCTAAGTTTTCTTTTTATTCATTCACGGGATGAGGGCATTGCTATATAGGCCAGGATTTATTGCCCATCCCAGAGGGTAGTTAAGAGTCAATCACTTTAATGAGAGTCTGGAGTCACATGTAATCCAGTCCAGATAAGAATGGCTGTTGCCTTCCCTAAAGGACATTAGTAAACCAGATGGGTTTTTCTTCATAATTGATATTGGATTCAAGGTCATCATTAGATTCTCAGTTCCAGATTTGAATTGAATTCAAATTCCACTGTCTGCTTACTTGGGTTTCTGGATTAAAAGTCCAGCAATAATATCACTAGGTCATCGCCTCCCAAATATATATTGTAAATAATTGTGATCTGAGCACTAATCCCATAGCACTCTGAATGTTACACTTTGCCATGCTGAAAAATGCTGCCTTTATCCCTATTCTCTGCCTTCTATTACTTTGTGAATCCTCTACCCATGCTAATATACTACCTCTACACGTGGGCTTTTATCCAAGTACCTTAAATAACTTATCAAATACCTTGAAAATGCAAATATATTACATCCACTACTTCTCCTTTATCTATCCTGCCGGTGATCTCCTCAAATAATTCTAATGAATTTGTCAGGCATGATTTCCTTCGCATAAAACTATGGACTGTACTTGATTGTATTGTGTATTTCTAATTGCTCTGCTGCTATATCTTTATAATAGACTTTAACTTTTTGCAATGCGAGATATTGAGCTAACAGATCTGTCGTTACCTATTTTTTTTTGCGTCCTTCCCTTTTTAAATGAGTGTTACATTTACAGTTTTCCAATCCTCTGGGACTTTTCCAGAATCTAAGGATTCCTAGAAGATTGCTACCAGTGCATCCACTATCTCTGTAGGTACTTCCTATAACACCCTAGGATGCATCCATCAGGTTCAGGAGGCTTCTCGGTCGTCAAGCACCACTAGTTTCATTAGCACTTTACCTCTAATGGTAATTATTGTGTTTATTGCCTCCTCTTTTTGCCCCTTGATTATTTAGTGTTTTTGGAATGCTATTAGATTCATCTACTGTGAGGATTAGTGCATAGTATTAACTCAACTCCTCTGCTATTTCCTGGTTCCCATTATTATTCTACAGGTCGCATTTTGTAAGGGACCTATGTTCATGTTGGCCACTCTTTACCTTTTTATATATTTAAAGAATCTCTTGCTTTCTGTCTTGATTGTACTTTCTAACTTATCGTCACAGTTTATTTTCTCCCTCTTTATAACTTTCTTGGGTTGCCATTTGTTGGTTTTTAAAACTTTCCCAATCTTTTGGCTCACCACTAAACTTTGCCACATTGTATGTTTTTCCATTCAATTTGCTGCTATTCTTAACTCTCTGTTGAATTATTTTTGGCTTATCCTCTTCTTAGAATCATTCTTTCTCACCAGAATATACATTTATTATGAGCTATGAACTATTTTCTTAAATGCAGGCCGTTGTTCCTCAACTGTCTTTGTTGCCAAACTCCTTCCCTAGTCCACTCCAGCTAGCTCTGCCCTCATTCCTTTGTAATTACCCTCATTTAAGTTTAGCCCAGGTATTTTCAACCCAAGTTTCTCTCTCTCAAACTGAACACTAAATTCTGCCATGTTTTGGTCACTGTTTCCCAGGGGACTTTTTATTCTGAAGTTATTTATTGAATGTGCCTCATTACTCATCACCAGATCCGAATTAGCCTTGGCTGGATCCACAACACATTATTCTAGGAAAGTGTTCCAAATGCACTCTTTGAATTCTTCCTCATGGCTACTTCTGCCAATTTGACTTTACCAAACTACATGAAGTTTGCGGTCAGCCATCACTAGCATACTGCCTTTTTTACATGGCCTCATTATCTTCTGATTTATTCTCTACTCTACTGCATTGCTCCTGTTAAGGGGGCTGTAGATGATTCCTACCGGTATCGTCTCCCCTTTGTTTTTCTTACCTCCACTCATATGGATTCTACATCATTTGATTGAAGATAATTTCTTGCTATCATACTTACTCCATCCTATACCAACAGCTATCCATCATCCTTTTCTTCCTGTCTATCCTTCTGAAAATTCATATAGTCTGAATATTTAGTTCCCAGAATTTATCTCCTTTTAACCATATCTCTTCAATGTTTGAGTTCATACAAATTAACCTGTTTTTTTTTTCATTAATTATTTTGTTCCAAATACTACATGTATTCAAGTAAAGAGCCATTGATTTTGCCTTTATATCATCATTTGCCCATTTTATCCCTGTTTACTGCTGTTTGTCTCCATTTGTCCACTTTGTCCCTTCCTGTCCCACTCTGGGTGTCATTATCCAAGTACTGCCCTATTATGCTGCATATACTCTTG